TCGCACGGATGAACATCTTGCCAGCGACCCAATTTGCGTTCCGTCATGGGCACTCTACGGAAGATGCTCTTGCCCTACTAACTGAAAGAGTCGACACTGGGCGAGATGACGGTCTAGTTGTGGCAACCTGCCTTCTAGATATGTCGAAAGCCTTCGACAAAGTCAAGCACAGCATTCTTATCCAGGACCTTTTTGACATTGGCGTTACTGGAGGAGCACTGACTTGGTTCAAACATTACCTGTCAAGTCGCCAACAGCAAGTGCGCACTGGTACCGGACTCGGCAGGGTTGTTACATGCACCTGCGGTGTTCCGCAGGGTTCGGTCCTGGGGCCGCTGCTCTTCAGCATATACACTAGAGACGTACCGACTGTTACCTGCCCGACTATGTCAATCAAGTTTGCAGACGATATAGCCTTGACTTCCACCCGCCGCAGCGCTGACCTCGTTTCTTCTGAGCTCACAACAGCTGTCTCTAACCTAGCTCGCTGGCTAGCCTCCCGTGGTCTCATCCTCAACGCCAACAAGAGTCAGCTCCTTGTCTTTGCAGGATCCAATGGCCAGAGTCCCAACGTTGTGGTAAAGTGCGATGGCATACCCGTGCCAAGCGTCACCAGTGCCCGCTACCTTGGCATCATCTTGGATGTACGCATGTCATGGCAGCCCCAGGTCGATGCGAGCATCACGAAAGCCAATAAGAAAATTGGAACTCTGTGGCGGGCACGAAAGTCGCTAACACTTGCTAGCCGTGTGCTGTTCTTCAAGGCAGCTATCATGCCGGATCTACTGTATGGGTCCGTTGCGTTTAGCCCAGGTCTCACACAGGCCCAGACCGACCGGCTCCAAGTAGCACAAAACCGTGGGGCAAGAGCAGTTTATGGCCGGCCGGGGTTCTCTCGTGCCAGTGATCTCCTGGAACGCATGCAGGTGTTCAGGATTGGAGAAGTACATCGGCAGAAGGTCCTGGTCTTTGTCTGGAGGTGCATACACGCCAGTGCGAGTCCATCTCTCCAGGAGCTCTTCGTACGCTGCGCGGATCGTAGGACGCGCCTGGATCTCGCCCTGGGGCTCCGTCTACCAGCTACGCGAACCCGCGCCGGACGATCTCGCCCTGCCTCCCGAGGTAGTGCCCTTTGGAACGTCCTACCGGATGCAGTCAGAGTACTGTCGTCTCTCAGCAGCTTCAAAGCTGCCGTCGTACCGTATACCCTCCGATCTTCCTGATGTTATGATTAGAAACTTGCCCTGAGACAGCTTCCTGTCTGTGATTGATTTTCACTGTTTACCATCATTATTTGCCATGGCGACCCCCGTAAGTCCGTAACTGGCAGGGCAGGGTTGGGCCTTTCATCCTCCCGATGTTAGTAGCAAGTACTCTCGTTAGCAGTAACTGTTAGTACTTTGTTTGTTTTTTATTTTATTTTTTTATTTTATTTTATTTTCTCTATTTATTCTCTTTACCAGGCGTGGGCCATCCCCTGGACAAACAAAATGGGTGCCTTATTATTATTTTTCTGTTTCTGTTTTAATGACAGTCCACTGCACGCCTGAAAAAAAAGTACTTAGTTTATTAGGCGGGTTACAGAACTATCGACTTATCGTTCGCTGGCTTACTTGTAGTTTGATAACGCTTCGCTCTTCATTGAGATATCTACCATTCTCTCTTTTTCTCCTTATTTTCTCCCCAACCCTCCTTCCCTGTAACATAATAACATATTCGCTGCCTTGTCATTGAGCATTTGTGCTCGTTTGGATTTGCGAATTCAAATAAAGTATACAAACAAACAAACAAACGGTATAGAGGCGGGAATACATGCGATGCAGCAGGCCTTTCAGCTGGATGACACCGAAGGAATTCTGATGGCGGATGCAAGTAATGCGTTCAACAGACTGCGTTCAACAGACTAAATCGCCAGACTTGCTTTAAGAAATGTTCGGCACTTGTGTCCATCACTTGCTACCGTTCTAATTAATACCTACCGTGATCCAGCTCATCTCTACGTGGACGGTGAAAGTATCCTGTCGCAAGAAGGGACAACACAGGGTGATCCCCTTGCAATGTACATGTACGCGTTGGGAATAATGCCCTTGATACGTTTGGCGGATGAGGCGGGTGCGGTGCAGTCATGGTTCGCGGACGATTCATCCGCTGCTGCTCGTCTTCGCAGACTCCGTCTATGGTGGGACATAATGGACAAGAGAGGACCGGCATATGGATGTTACGTAAACCCAAAGAAATCGGTCCTTGTCGTCAAGGAAAGGTGTTACCAGGAGGCGACTGAATTGTTTCGAGACACTGGTGTAATGATAACGGACGAGGGATCACGATATCTTGGCGCAGCAATCGGAAGGGACAGCTTTCTTCAAAGTTATATCAAAACAAAGGTGGACGAATGGATGGGGGAACTAAAGAAGCTAGCAGTATTTGCGCAAACCCAGCCGCAGGCTGCGTATTCTGCGTATGTGACGGGCCTCAGGGGTAGATGGGCGTTCCTCTGTCGTACCATGAAGGTACCCGAGCCCATGTTCCAACCGCTGGAGGACATTGTGAAGTCTGAACTGATTCCCGCCTTATCTTGCCGTGCACCCCCAGGCGACACCCTCCGACGGCTTATGGCTTTGCCGTGTCGTCTGGGTGGGCTCGGTTTGATTAACCCTGTGTCCCTTTGCCAACAATACGAATCGTCGGTTCGGCTGACCAACCCTCTGTCTCGGAGAATCTTGTCAGGGGATGGCTCCATCGGCGACTCGATAGTATTAATCAGATCGGCCAAGAGAGACGCCAAGGCATCTTCTCGACGTCATCAGAAACTGGAATTCGACGCGATATCGGGCAGTGCGTCGGAGTCGCTACGACATGTCATAGAAGTCGCGAAGGAGAAAGGGTCGTCGTCGAGCTGGCTGACGTGCCGTCCACTTAAGAAGTATCATTTTACAAGTAATATCAAAGGGAGAGTTTTGGGACGGACTCTGCCTCCGTTACGGATGGACACCGGCCAGGGTACCGTCACACTGCTCTTGCGGCCAAGAGGCAACTGTCGCGCATTCCCTGTCGTGCCCCTATGGAGGGTTTCCCTCCATTAGACACAATGGTATTCGGGACGTCACAGCCCGGCTGCTGGACGAGGTGTGCACCAGTGTGTCCATCGAGCCCTTGCTGCAACCGCTGACGGGGGAGCGTCTTCGCTACCGGACCGCAAATGTGGAAGACTGTGCCCGGTTGGATGTCGCTGCCAATGGTTTGTGGGGCAGTCGTTTTGAGCGTACACTTATTGATATACGGGTTTTTAATCCTCACTCACGCTCAAATCGATCTGCACCACATACTATTATGTATCAGCGACATGAAAATGAAAAGAGAAGGCACTATGAGGAGCGGGTGAGGCAGGTTGAGCAAGCCTCCTTTGTTCCGGCGGTCATGTCAGCCAGTGGCGGAATGGGTCCAGCATCAACAGCACTGTATAAACAAATTGCTCATCTGTTGGCTGAGAAGAGGGGTGAGCATTGCTCTCATGTTATGGCATTTGTTAGATGCAGGATTTCCTTCAGCCTTCTGAAATCCAGTATCATGTGCATTCGTGGTTGTAGGTGTTTATTTTAGTTTGAAAGTTGCACCCTCCTGCGGAGCCCACGCTGCTTTGGCAGTGGCGGAGGCTCGCTTGCCGACGTAACCGTCGGAGATCATCATGAACAATGGACTGACTGATAATATTTAAAAAAAATTATATTAATATTCACTTGTCCTGTCTTTCTAAATAACATGTTATTGCACATGTTCTTGGTTTAGTTTTTGGCCTTTTTGTTTTTTTTGTTTGTTTATTTAGAGTCGAAGAACAAACAGGCAAATTTGCCTAATTACATGATATCGACTAAAAAGGAGAATAAAGTATAAAAAGCCAATGAAGGTAATGATACTGAGTAGAGTGGGTAATGATACTGAGTAGAGTGGGTAATGATACTGAGTAGAGTGGGTAATGATACTGAGTAGAGTGGGTAATGATACTGAGTAGAGTGGGTAATGATACTGAGTAGAGTGGGTAATGAAGGTAATGATACTGAGTAGAGTGGGTAATGAAGGTAATGATACTGAGTAGAGTGGGTAATGAAGGTAATGACACTGAGTAGAGTGGGTAGTAAAGTATTTCGTCATTGTAAAAGCCAGTTAGGCCGGTAAAGGAAATAATAATACAGCGGGCAGTGGCATTACTGAAAAGCAGCATGTGCTGGGAGGGATCGCATGAATCGGTGGTACTGTGGGATTTTCCTGATGTCGGGCTGGAGCCTGTTCCACAGTGATACACATTGGAATGAGGCAGAATGTGTGCCAGCGGATGTCTTAGTGACTGGAAATTTTTTCATGCTTTGGAGTTATTTGTTGTTGACGCATAAACCGTGAAGGACATTCAAAGCACCTTCGTCTTTGTGCAATTGTTGAGTTTGCTCCTCAATTGTTCTGCCTGTTACTTTGCAACCTTCCTGCTCCTTCATACACCCCTATCCTTAACTCCATTACATGTATCACGTTCGCTTCCGTGCAATTGGGCTTGTAGCCCGTGTGTACTTGCGAATTCCCACTCGCCCGACCACGCACAGACAAAACAGCCACCCCGGTGACCCCAGGGGTTTACAGGTACATGTACAATGTACATGTATTTACCAGTAGATCTACTCACCGGACTCGATACAATAAGACTTCAGTATGAAGAAAGTTAGTAAATTAAATAATTTAATTGTTACATGTATAGCGAAGGAGGACCTGTAGAATCTACTACATGTACATACACTGACTGTACTCTGTAGGTCTACTACTTCTGCATGCTGACATGACGCAGCTGAGTGCATGCGCATGGGTATGATCATGATGATTGTTATGTGCGAGCTAGCGTTTCAAACGCTCTCGGCAGCATGCAGTCTCGAGATCTCGGACTCATGCAGTCGGAGCGTTATAACTTATAACGGCAGCGGAGATCGTAATAATTTTTGAATAAAATGATAGAGAAGAAACAGCTTTCCTTGACCTGTCACTGTCGACCTCAGTTCCCAAGCTAACCCACTCCTTGCGAAGTTTTTATTTTTATTTTTCTGAAACGCCGCTCCTAGTCCTAGCTGTTCATGATCCGAGGAGGGATGGTGTGGCAGTGAAGCTTACAAAGTAGTGAATACATTTTTCAGGCAGTCTTTCCTCAGTCTAGCCTAACTGCCCAACCAAACGGTTGTTGTTGAATGGTGGAGCGAGTGTGTACTCGTGCACTATAATGGATGTCGTGACCTTTGCGTTCCTTGCCGTTCTCATATGCATTGCTGTGGACAAGTTGAGAGCGCGGTGGAAGTCGACTGGCCACTCGCCGCCCCCGCCACCGGTGCAGAAAGGCTTCAGCCACATCTGGGGTCATCTTGGTGAGCTGGCAGCGATAGCGAAAAACCCAGAACGGGATTTGTATGACGGACTCGAGCACTTCGTGCGAACGTCCCGTTCGCAGCCGGTCGTGTCGCTGTATTGTGGTCCACCGGCCCTTGTTCGACCTATCGTGTTCGTGCTGGACCCTAAGGTTGCACGCCGGCTGTCCTTTGAGGGCGGCGACTTCCAGGGCATCGTCCGTGGCCTGACCTTGATCGCGGGGCAGCCCGTCATCTCCTCAGGACATATGCTAGCGGACGCGGAGCGCACTCGCCGTAAAAAGATCATGGCGTTGGCGCTGTTCCGGCCCCACCACCTGCGGCGTACTGTCGGGCTGGCAGGCAAGCACATGAGCAGACTGCTGCTGGCGGGCTGGTTTGACGAGAACGACGGAGTGTTTGATGTCTCGCGCAAGAACTTCCAGCGGCTAGTGCACAGCATTCTCCTGGACGCGTTCATTAGCGTGGACAGCGCTGATCAAGACCCGGCAGACATGGACAAATACCTGAGCGACATGCACACGTGGGCTATCATCCTCAAGGACATGATCTACTTCCCGGCCGATCTCAGTCTCTACCCGTACGTACGGCCATCCAACTACAAGCGTGTGCAGCAAGCGTACGGTTCGCTGAGCCGCTCTTGGGTGGAGCCCGTGATCAAGGAGCGACAGCGACTGACCGCCGAGGGCGAGGAGCTTCCCGACGATGCGCTATCCAGCATGCTGGCCGGCGAGCAAGAGGACGGATTAGCGGCGGCGGAGAATGACGACCCCAAGGCCACTCTGAACAGCAATGTGGCCTGTGCGGAAATGACGACAATCCTATTCGCCAGCGACACCATGAGCAGCACCATGGTCTGGCTTATGCTGCATCTCGGTAAGGAAACGTCTCTTGACTGCAAAAAAAATTAGAAAGGACACCTGAGTTACGAGCTATGAGTCGTAACTCTTAAGGTGGCAGACTACCCAAAAATTACCTGAAAAATCGAATTTGTAAATTCATATTGAGTGCTACGTCAGTTGAAAGAGCATGAATAGCTGCAAATTCTCTGAAAATTGTGCCCCGATCTGACCGGCCGTTCAAGAGTTATGGCTGAAAATGTGCCCTTGCAAGGAAAGATTTTTTGTTGCACGCTGTCATTTGTTGGCAGCACTGTATTTGAATGTGAGCAGACCGTGCGCAACTTGTCGTATCATGGAAACACGTGGAAGTGTGCAGAATTTTGCTCCAAGTCCAAAAAATCAGGTTTTTGGGCCACGTATTGGGCTGCACGGCGGCGGGCAAAGCCCGCCGCCGTGCAGCAGGACTTTTGCCAGCACCCTCGTGACGTTGCAGATATGTGGCTTGATTATTGTAGTTGACGTTGATTTAGTGACTTTGGCAAGTTTGAGTCGTGTCAAGAAGTCAGGTAGGACTCAGTACTAGGCAGTAGTGAAACGTGAGTGGTAGTCTTTGCCGGTTTCTGAGGGTATCCTGGATTTGGTGTGCAGCGCTGTGGAAATGGCTTGCTGTGGAGGTCCCAGCACTGGATGTTGTATCAAAGGTACGACCTCGTAGCACGTGCTAAACCTAAAACAATTCAAAAATTGACTTGGGTCTGTGGGAGTGTGTGAGAGAACGCCCACTCGTTCCGTTGTGACAGATTCCAGGGCCTCGTTGAGGGGCCCTACCCCATCACCCATGGCTGCTTCTGGACTTGTTCTAGGTTTGAGTCCCGCGCACGAACAGAATGAGCACGAAAATGTGAAAAAATTGTAAATGCATTTGTTTGGCTCCTGGGTGGCTCGCACACCGTGGCACTATGGCGGAAATTTGAGTTTTTCCGGCCTGGAAAGCCTGTCAGTGAGGCGCAAGAACTTGTAAATCATGTCCTGAGGGCCAGCATAGCGGCAGGAGTGTGTGGTCAAAATTTCACTCAAATCCATTGAGAAACACCAAAGTTACGGTCAATTGAATGCCATATGAAATTTATGGGTAGGCTGCCCCCTTAACCCATGTGTCCTTTCTAATTTTTTACATTTCACTATCGGCTCGGTACCCGAGTTCAATTTTCTTTATTGCATTTATCATTTCACCTGTATTTTACCAGACGAGAAGGCTTGAACATATAGTCGTGGAACCTGTCTAAGACGACCGCTCAAGGGACCTTCAAAATATGGTCTCTGTACCAGGTGGTCTCCTTATCCAGGGTCTTTTGACTGGAAATAGCATCCCTTGATCCTGGTTTCAGTGGTCTTCTTGGACAGGTGGTTGCCTTGACAGGTTTCACTGTAGTCGTGAAAACTCTCAAGATGTTAACAAAGAGCCTTAAGTATGTTTTTCTTGCAAGTATTATTGCATTCTTGTCCCCTAGGAAACTGTTCATCATCCAGCGTTCAGCACAGCCGACTTCTTCAAACACCCCAGCGTCATGCGGAAAGCAGCCCGTCGGTTCACACTCAACCCTGTGCTTAGGGAACGCGCCATGCTGCACGAAAGCCTGCTGTCGCGGGGAGGTCATCACTGCGCGGTGTACTTATCGAAAACGGCAACATTCACTCAAATTATGTCTTGTTGGTGTCTAAAGCAGTCAAAAACCACTTTAAATCCACATTGTTTTTCGCCAGCAATTCTTCTTTGTCATAATATTTGTGGAAACGGTCACAGTTTGTGTTTGTGATTTTGGGGGGGGGGGGTACAAACTACCAGTACATTATAACACCCCTGTTCAGGGCCCTGTTCCGGAATCCCCAGAGCCGAGCGACTTTCTAACCTCTCTAATGTCACGAAAAAGGGGTTTGAACGAATAAAATTGCCCCGGAAACTATTGATAGGCGTTGAAAGAAAATGTTTAGTTCTGAGTTACAGGAAGTGCTCGATCTCAACCTGCCCGGATGTGTGTGTGTGTGGGCGGGGGGGGGGGGGGGGAGGTGGGGTGATTCTACTCGAGTGAAGTTGAAAACTCGGGTGTACTAAACCAGGACAGGTACTTGTGCCATGGGAAGAGCATGCAACATGACATGACCATGCAACGTGAGTAGTAGAGTTAACAGAGCATGTCTGAGAAAACCTGAACATGACGGCTCGGAAATGTCTGGTATTTCACTCTAATTATTTTACTACTGTGTCTGCTGTTGCTGTTACTGCTGCTGTTGGTGGTGGTGATGCTGCTGCTACTGCTGCTGTTGCTGCTGCTGGTGGTGGTGGTGGTGCTGCTGCTGCTGCCGCTGGTGGTGGTGGTGCTGCTGGTGTTGCTGTTGTTGATGCTGCTGGTGCTGCTGCTGGTGGTGGTGGAGGTGCTGCTGCTGCTGGTGGAGGTGCTGCTGCTGCTGCTGCTGGTGCCGCTGCTGGCGGAGGTGTTGCTGTTGCTGTGGCCACTGCTGCTATGCCTGTTCTCTCTGTCTTTGGTTGTGACCGTTGATAGCCGACAATCCTGCTGCTCAGCAGAAGTGCTACGAAGAGGTTGTCTCGGTGATTGGGAAAGAGCCGCAGGGTGATCGACCGAACTTAGATGATATCTCGGAGCTCAACTATCTGTTTGCATTCATCAAGGAATCACAGCGCTTCCAGCCAATCGCCCATGCCCTGATGAGAGAAGCTAAAGAAGACTACATTGTTGGAGGTAAGCATACTGTAAAAGCAGAAATTTAATTCGGTGGTGTTTTATTTTCGGTGCCGACAATTTTTACCGAAAGAACGGACCGAAAATTTCGGTACAACCTGTACTGTATACATGGAGTACTACAGTCGACCTACCCTTATAACGATAACCTCTATAACGATATTACCCTTATAACGATATTTTTTTGTCCAACCAAATCACTCCATTGACTTTTGTATACAATGCCTTACCCTTATAACAATATTGCTATAACGATATCAAATGGGCTGACCACTCAGCATTTTTCTATTTTATAACAATATCTAGCAGGGAATATGTAGGCTCCACTATCCAAGTAGGGCAAGTTTCACTTGATAAGTCACTGGGACATGACAAAATGCGATGGGGGCACCATTGATGCCTTGCTGTGTACATAGTGTGCATAGAACATATATGTACGCAAGTTTTTATGCTCTAAAGAATGTAAAACTTGAACAAAGATCATGCATTATGACGTACATGCATGAAATGAACCAATACCCTTATAACAATATTACCATTAGGGGCCGTCCGTAAATATCGATGTTTTTTTTAGAGACGATATTCGTTCGTAGGGGGGGGGGGGGGAGGGGGGTTTGACGCTGTTCGTTGTTTTTGGCGGAAAAAAATATCGATCTTCACATACGCTATTTTTAAGTATGCACCTTGTACTTGCTTGTCTCGGCTCGTGCAGCATGCAGCATGCAGGCACTTGAACCTTGTGACTTGTACTACTACTAGTACTGCAGCACGTATTATGTACCTACCTGTACACACAAACCGTTCAATATAAAAAATATCGGTCCACTGCGTAAATGTATTCATGTTCGTATTAGAGGGTGGGGGTCTGGGGAGATATGAACAAATATCGTCTCTAAAAAACATCGATATTTACGGACGGCCCCTTATAACAATATTTCTTGGTCTGACGCAAATATCGTTATAAGGGTAGGTCGACTGTAGCACACTTACCTGGAAAACCGGT